CACGAGTAGGGAGGACCCCCGTCCTCCACCCCGTGTAAATTACCCACGCGTGGGGGAAAAGTGGGATGGTCCTTAGGGATGCTCGTCCTGGCCCGAAGCTGCTCCGCTTGACTCCAGCTCCTCCATCAGCACCAACGGCAACAACCCCCCTTCTCTTACCACGGTCTTTTACCAAAGTTCGGCTTTGGCAAGTCGAGAAGTCCAATATTTCCAGGATTAACCATTCCTGGCTGCCCCCGGCCAGCCCACACCATTGGGAGGCGTTTGTCCCTTAACAACACGAAGGAGCAAACATGGGAGACATTTAAACACGGCATTTTGAGACAAATACCTGCCATTTCTCCCCAGAGTGTCTTTGCAGCTCCTAAGGGACACGAGCGTGGCTGGCAGTGGGCTCCACCAAGGAGCTGCTCTCCCTGGGCCGTATCCTGAGCCCCGCAGCCCATTTCTTCCTCGGAGAGAAAGCAGCGCATCTTGAAGACCCCCAGCACCCAGGAGGTGGGTGCACGCTTCTGGGGACACCCATAGGGTGAGCAGCACGCGGGGACGCACTGACACTGGGTTGCTTTGAGTTCCGCAGTGAAAAACCGTGGGGTAAAAAAAAAAAATCTCCTTGGGAAAAAAAAAATAATTTCTCTGGGAAAATCCAGAGAAATACTGCTCAGGTTTGGGGAGAATCCAGCTGGAGGTGTCAGCGTGAGCTGCAGCAAGCATCCATGGGGATCTGCAAAGGGGCTTCTTTAGGAGAAGACAACCCATAACTCACAAATTTAGCAAATACAAAAAAACCCACAACCACATGTAACAGGAAAACATTTAATCAGGCATTTGGCACGTGGCCATGTCAGCAATTCAAGGGAGAGCCCTTACAGCCACAGGGATGTCCCTCACCCTCCCAGCCCTGGACCAGGGCAGCAGGTGTTACCTATCACCGGGCAGGCAGGATGGATGCAGCCGAGCATCCAACTCCCCCAGTTTTACCCAAACCTCACACATCCCAGCTCCACTTCCTCCCCAAGCGCTTGGCAAAACACAAAGCAGGAGATTCCCCAGCTCAGGAGCTGGCAGAGTCATCCCTTTGCGGAGGAGCCCGGCTGCTTGCTTTTTATTAATGGAGAAAATTAAAAAAAAAGAAAAAGGACTGGCTGCCTCACTGCGGGTTTGGGATAGAAACAGCGGCGTAGCAGGGACCGACCTCAGCCAAACTGCTCTCGCAAGCGGTCAGCCCTCGGGAGAGCTCGCCCGGCTCCGCACGGGCACCCCGAGACCCCCTCATGGTTGGGGGACGGGCTCCTCCGGTGACAGCAGCAGGTCGAAGGGGACGAGGGGCCGGACGAGCAGCCGAGTGCCTCGGGGCCGACGGGGTTCTCCCGCAGGTTGAGGCTCCGCAGCGATGCCATGGAGGCCAGTTTCTCCACCGGCACCTCTGCAAAAGAGAGCACCGAGGTGAGCATCCGTCCCGTGCCAGGGAATTTGGAGCAGAAGGGGCAGAAAACCACCGGTCTCCAGGCTTTTATCGAACCAGAAACGTAATAAAATATTAAATTCTGTCATTACTCAAGCAAATGACTTGGCCAGGTGCAAACACCAGGATTTTAAATGTAGATATTGCCCTCCAGTTCTCCCAGTCCTACAAAAACACAACCCTGCTGGGGTGTTAAACTGGTTTTCAAAGACTTATTCCCTTATTTTATTACCAGTGTTGCAATGCCCAAGAACATTATTCCAGGGTAACAGGAGAGCTCGTGCTCTTTGCCCTTGCTGGACAGGCTGCAAAATGGCTCTCAGCCATTCCCGAGCACTCTCCAATTTTGCAATTTCCGTGAATTCAGGTGTTTTCCTTTCTAAAAAGTTTCTAAAGGAAACGCTTTTTACATTCAAAAAAGGTGCAGGTCTCATGGATGGTCCCAACGTGAATCCACTGAGAGCAGAGGAACAAGACCAGTACAAAAATCGAACTGTTAGGATCACTAAAAGATGAGAGATTTAGTTTTTTTGTTACAAATCACCGTATTTTGGGCTCGAAAAGCCCACCTGCCTGAGTTTACCAACAACAGTTTCTTCTTAACTTGGCCACCGAAATGACGAGAGCCTTTTATATCCACAGCTCTGATTTCTTCTGCCAGTGCTCGGAGGAGAATCGTGGTGTTGCAATTAGAGCTGGGCAAGTGATTACACAATTTTTAAACCATGAAACTTCTTTTATGCTGGAAAAAGACTCAAACACCTCAATGGCTTTTTTCTTTCCCCTCCAGAGAACGGTGCTGTTCTCTGTAATACACATTTCTTAGCAGCACGTCTCATCAGGCTGAGCTCCACATGGATTTTTTTTTGTGTACCTCTTCGTTATGGTGGATTTGTTCACCACCACTCCTCCTCTATCATTTTGCTTTTTTTATTTTTCCCCTTGCTGCATAAAAATCAATATTTTTTTTGATAGATTTTCCTGGTTAATGATCTTCTAAGGCTACGCAGAGTGATAAACCCCCACTTTGCTTAAATTTAGTGAATCAAGAAAAGTCTTTTTAGGAAGCAAACCTTGCCCAGGGTGGGAACAGCCCAGCTCTGCAGCTTAATTCCAGGTAAGGAGCAGTGACTCACCCTCAGCATGAAACAACAGGCAGGGCACGTGGTGCAGCCTATAGATATATGGCCGTGCCACCAACTCCTCTATAAGCAACCCAAAGCATCACTTGCCAGCTCCCCAGTAGATAAGACACTGGTGTTTGAGCCTGAATTATTCATGCTGGCTTCAGCAGTTAAGAAAAAAAAGAGGAAAAAAAGGCTCTTTTGTAATTAAAGCAAACAGTAATTTTCTCCGATCAGAATAGGATAATAAGGGAGTAAAAAACCCAGCTCCTTCAGATGAAAGGGTTTGCTGAGGCACTGGGTAATGAACATTAACAGCCCCGAAGGTCTCGCAGCCACGTACGGCTGCAGATTGAAAGGGGGGAAGGACCCCACTCAGCTCAGGGGAGCTGCTTCTCAGTCACGTTTCGGCATTACCTGCATCCTTCGGTGGCCACCAGCTCCTGCCAGCCTCCTCCAAGCCTACTCACCAGCTCCTCTGCAGCTGTTGAGGAAGATGCATTTTCCATGCCATTATCCCAAATTAAGAGCAGGTCTCTGATGCTCAGGAGGAGAAAATGAGCACCAGTTGCCCCCAGCAGCGACCTGCCCAGCCTTGGTCACAGTCTCCAGCATCCCCCCCTTGCTGTCTCAATGATTAAACTGTTAATCAAGGAATAAGGGAACAAGAAACTGAAGCTTCAGGCACCAGAAACCCCTACAGACTTGGGAGCTGAAAATGCTAATTTGATATCACTCTAATTAGCAGGGAAGGAGTTAAAAGCAGTGACATTAATACATACCTAATTACACTCTAGGGTTAAGAGCTCCTTGAGATAAAAAGGGCAGTTCAATGTCTCCTTTCGGAGCCCACAGACTCCAGGCAGGCATTAATTAATCTCCTTTCATTCCTCTCTCCCTTTCACTGGAAAACATTACCTACCATCTCCAGTTCAATGTGCCTTGATAGGTGACTCAGCCTTCTTTCAGCAGGTGCTTTTAATCTGGTTCTCAGCCCTGCTATCAGCTCCTTCAGCATCACCAAGAGAGCAGAGGAGGACAGGCAGGACCAGGAACAGTACATGGCTGCAGCAGCAGCACCAAACCCAAACTATTGAGTGGTCAAGGCCAGGCTGGACAAGGCTTTGAGCAACCTGGTGTAGTGGAAGGTGTCCTTGTCCATAGCAAGGGGTTGGAACTAGATGATCTTGAAGGCCCCTTCCAACTCAAACCATTCTATGGAACTAGATGGTCTTGAAGGCCCCTTCCAACCCAAACCATTCTATAGAACTAGATGATCCTGAAGGCCCCTTCCAACCCAAACCATTTCTATGATTTGTAACCTACTTGCTAACAGAGAAAGCCACAGCCTTTCCCCAAGCTCCATATTCCATCTATGGTCTGTAGAGCAGCCTCCCCTTGCCTTTTATCTGGAGCAGGGTCCTCAACTCGTTACTGGGCTAACTGGGGCAACCTGGGTCCCAAATTATAAAAGGCAGCAAAACACACCCCCTTCCCCATGTTGAGCTAGCTGAAGGTGTGCAGGTACTGCTGCTAGAGAGCAGCACCAGGGTGAATTTTCAGGTGCCTTAACAGCTTCTCCAAGGATATGCCAGTTACTCCTCATGAGACCCTGCTGCTAAAATATGGTCTTCAGCCAGTTTTGGTGGGTGAGTTGTCTCACTACTTTTGAGGTAGTGAGGAAAAGAGAAGATGCTATCTCCTACAGCCTGGCCCAAGATCTCCTGGGGTGAAACAAGTGGCCTGCTGCCATGTTCCTGTGTGCTAAAGGGCTCAAATCCTACTTGGCTGTTGAGGAAAATTAAAATTAGTGCTGGTTAAATTCAAGCTGATGGGTTCTCCTTAATTCTTCTTCTCCTGTTGTGCCAGGCTAGTGTGGGAGGAAAAAATGCATATAAATACAAACTCATAAATAATATATAAAACTGTATTAGCATGTAAAAATGTGTGTGTATATATATATAAAAAATGCAAATGCATGTGCATGTAATTGGCGCCAAGGCTCATCCCACAGCCTGGCTGCAAGCTCCTGGGGAGCTCCCAGAAGGTGAAACTGAGGATGAGATGCTTTTCCAAGGATTTGAACTGCTCTAGCTCTGGGGATGCTCTGGTCCCTGGGAGGCTATTGCACATGGGAGCCCAGGAGGTGTTGGGGAAGGTGCCTGGGAATGATGCTATTGCCCAAACTTTTGTTTCCTTGTAAAAATGAGCTGTGACACCCCTGGCTTCCTAATTTCTACCTCTTCTCTTTCCAGAAAATGTGTGAACTGGGCTGATCTTACCCATTTCTGCAGCCAGAAAGCATCATGCTCGTAACTAAGGTATGTCACTGAAACATTTTAGCTTAGAATTGCTAATTTCTAACATCCTATTATTTTTTCTGAGTCTGATAACAGTAGCTGAGGGGAGCCTGGCAGGAGGTGACCAAGCCTGGCAGCCGCGTTTTCTAGTTGCCCTCTCCCCTGGGATGAAGCCAGCTGGGTTCAACCCTTGATGTATCCTATCATCCCTGCATTTAAGCTGGGGAAAAATGTGACAAAAAGCTGTCTTCCCTTCCTGCTGCAGCCTGCTTGCACAAAATAAGTGGGAAATAGAAAGTTTGGAGACCTTGGCTCCTGCACTGAGTCTGATTGAAGTTGGCCAATTAAGCTTAAATAGCGATTGAGGGAATTAGGAGTGAGACAGCTCTCTCCAGGAGGCTGGAGAGAGAAAAAAGAGATGAGGAAAAACCCATGTCTTTCCCTGGCTCTCACGGAAGCGATGTTCAATAGCTTGTGTTTCTACGTGCCTGGCCAGGGAGCAGCTGATGCTGCTACTAAAATTCATGTTGCAGGGAGCAGCTTTCCTAGCAGCAGCTGAAGCCATCCCAGATAAAACAGGAAAAGCGAGCGGACTGGATACTTGCCTCCCCGGGGATCCGTGCGGGCTGTGGGGTGCTCCCGCCTGGGCTCTTTGAAAACTCCATCTTAAATAAATCCCCTTTTATCTACGTGCAACAGCTGCCTCTTTTGCCTGGCTTGCAGGGACTCCAAAGACTTCAGCTTTGTGCATCAAAGATTTTCTTCCAACTGCGGGGTCGGGGGGCCGAGTGGCTCTTACCGCCCCTTTAATGTCATTTTTTTAGGTAATTTTGTAGTGTTACAGCTCCTCTTTGAAACATCCAGGTGAGCTTGTGCCCTTACTTTGCCTGGCAGCAAATATCCCAACCCAGCATCCTTGGGGTCAGCCAAGAGTAGAGCAGCCAGCTCCTGCAGGTGTGTCTATATTTTTTTATTAAATCTGGTGATTTTGGAGTCACAGCTGGTGCTCTGTGGGAGCCATATTCCAGTGTGGTGAATGGGGCAGCTTGAATGGGGCTTGATTCCTCCTCCGCACTCATGTGCCTTTCCCCCTGCCAAATCCATGCTGCTTTTACTGGATCACTAAGCCATCCCTTGGCCCACCTGCGCCTGCAGCGGATGGTGGACCACGAGCAGAGCTTGGAGCCAGCATCCCTCCACGCCCAGGGATGCGGATCGGCATCACAATGCTCATCCTCACCTCTGGTGAGGGGGAAAAAGGTCCGTCTCACCTGTGATCTCATTCTCTTCCAAGTCAATGGTCTCCAGGGTGGTGACGGCAGCAAGGGGTTCGGGGAAGCGCCGAAACCTGTTGCGGGAGAGGTTGATGGCCCGGAGGTGCAGGAGGGAGGTGACCTCCTCGGGCAGGCGGTGCAGGTAGTTGCCTGCCAGGTTGAGTTCTGCGTTTCAGAGAAGAGAGAAGTGGGGGAAAAAGATGGGAAAGCTAATTAATGCATAGCTTAATTTGCAGCCTCTCTTCTCTGTGGGCTGCTGGGTCCGGAAATGAGCTTCCTCCTCTGAAAATGGGATTTTTGTTTTGCTTATCTCCATGGTTTGCCATTGTACTTTTGCCTGCTGTGAATACTGCTTGTAGGAGGGATGTTTCTTGGCTTCCTTGGGCTCTCCTAATGAAAAATGGGCTTTTCCTAATGAAACCCATGCAGCGTTTTGCAAGCCCTGGCTGTAGAAATAAGCAAAACTTCTTCGTGAAGTCAGAGTGATGGACATTTGTCATGGCTTAATACTAGTTTTTTACCTTTTTGTGCCTGAACCCCTTTGAGGTATAAACGGTGGTGTAAGAAATGTATTTATATGCCAAAAAAAATTATCTATTATACCAAGTTCAAGTCTGTGATGCTTTTTCCCCCCTAAGAAATTAGCTCCTGTGGGGTGGGGAGCCAGACTCTTTTATGAAAGTCCATTAGTTATGGGGACAGACACCCCGAATCCCGCTGTGCCGGTGCCCTTCTCCAGTGACACAGGGCTTTCTGCTCTATAAATACTCATGCAAGCCGCCCTGCCCTTGCTAATACCTGGTATTTATAGGTCCTGCCTTATTCAGGCTGGTGCAATGCTGTCTCCAACCCTGGGGCATCTCTCCCCTGCAACAGCCCTGCTGAGGCCCGGCACATTCATCACTGGAGTGATTTGTTCACTAGTGGATTGAAACCCTTGCTGAGAAACGAGACCATTTTTGGTTTTCCTCCCCCTCAGGGCTTGCCGTGCTGTCTAGGAAATGAAAATTGATTTCCTTTGCTCAACATGCCTTCTGCAGCCTGAATACCCCATCTCTGCCATGCACCATTCTGTCCAGGCTGCCTTTCCCGTCCTCCTTCATCCCCAGTCCCATCCTTGGAAGGGAGCTGGAGGATGACGAGTGACCCTTCAGCAGTGGCCATGCTGCTGCAAGTGCCTGGGGGTGGCAGGGCATGAGTTTGGGAGGGTGGGTGAGAGCAAAACCAGTGCTCCCTTCCTGCAAGGGCTGGAAAGGTAAATAAAAATGGATTTTTGGGGTCTGAACTAGTGGAAAAAGTAAATAAAAATGGACTTTTGTGGGTCTGAACTAGTGCTTGGAATGAGGTGTGAGTGCAGAGGAGCAAAAACTGTGGTGGGGAACCTCTCTGGTGCTGACCACCCATCTGCAGCAGCCCTGGGGGGGG